ACTATTGGTGGAACAAGGTGCGCATGATGGTCTGAAGCAACATAACAAAGTTCGAGTCCAGTGGCACCTTTAAGACCAACAAAGTTTTATTTAAGGTGTGAGCTTTCGTGGTGAGATTTTCTAATTGCTTCTAGCCCACCCTGTGATTCCTTGCATGCCTGCAATGTGTAAAGATGTATTCCTAAACTGTTTACAGATTTGTCCCAACAGTCAGGGCAATGCAGTCTTTGTGGAGTACTGAACCACAAAAAGCAGCACCTCAATTTGTGGCTGAAAATATCTCCTGCAGAACACAAAACGGGTGGTAAACAAAAGTACACAGTAAGGCAACTAAGCGAATAATATTATGTCCACACTAGATAAAGAGTTATAATTTCCAAAGTATATACTACTATAAATAATGCTAGGGGTTATTTGCTGGAAAAGGCATAGATTCAGCCTTCAAATCACACAGCTACTATATGTATGTATGCTATTAAAAAGAGAGAGAGAGAGCTGCCTACTGTTTGACACTAGACACACTGGCACCACATGCATTGTTTGGGCTAAGACCTATGGTGAATTGCACTGTATAAAAGAGGCTTTATGAACACTACCTCTTTGAATTTAACCTTCTTTAAAAATAAATAGCAGTTTCCCTTTTTTGCATTTCTATGGTTTTGGTACATAGAAATAGGAAGAGAATAACAGCTTAGACAAATATTTCTTTCTGGGATTTCAGTAGTTTGTGGCAAGAAAAGTCAATGGAATATGATATTTTCCATCTGCAAATAACTGAGGGGAACAGAGGCAATCATTCTCAAATCACTGAGAAAGGCAAATCATATTGAAATAATCCACTAGATTTTTTCAGGAAATAGAGTGGCATTTCTTTTGAAAACCACGTAAAATGGATAAAAATTACGATCCTTTGTAAATATAATTTATTTGTAAGGCAAGAGGAGGATCTAGCATACAAACCAGGAAAAATCTCTTGTTGAATAAATGCTTCCTACATTGGGAAGCCAAGTGCTCTACAACTCAACTAGCAATAAAAGAGAACAGAGGACTTTCCTAGGTGCACTAACAGTGGGAACTAACAACATTCCTTCTTTATGCTTCAAAACTTTCCACAGGTAATGTCAAAAGTCCATAGTACTCCCTGCTCTGTGCAAAAGACAGAAAGACAGACAGAAAGAAGCATCTAGTTCAGGGAATAACACACATGGAGCTGAAGTTGATTATTGCAATGCCCAGTTTCAGAATGAACAACATACAGTCAATTTTTGAACAGCTCATACATAGTAAGATTGCCAGAAAGCATAGACAACTGTGCATAGTCATAACAGATCATTAAAAAAAACCCTAAACTAAACACAGGGAAGGTTTCAACATAAGAGACTGCAGTAAAGTTATACAATTTCTTGCTTTAGATGACTCCAAACCTTATAAGTAGTACCTACTTAGAGAAATGACAAAAGACCTTTAACTTTTATTTAGTTTGACAAACTTTCCTTCTGACTATCATGTCAGGTATGCACATTAGATTATCTTTTGACAAAATGTTACCAAAATGTCTTAATATTTATTAAGCAACATTGCAAATAAAACCTGACAAGACAAAATGAAGGGTCATGGTGGTTAAAACTGTGATAGTATACAGGAGTAATGCAAGTCTACCACCTATTTCCCATCACTGGGGGTATAGTCCTTCCCAGAAACTATTATCAGCATTACTCATCACCAATAGGATATAATTTACCCTTAGTGGTAGCACTATAAATCTGTCCACTGGTTTTAGTTAAAGTAGTTCTGATCTATTATGTAACAGACCTCCACAAGTATAGTGCTGTTTTATAATTTATTTGCTGCCATGTTGTTAGTTAATTGGACTACATTTTTATTGAAAAAGTGAAATATAGATATAAATATTATAAAGAAAAATATAAAGTAGCCTGGGAGGCCACAATGGCTGAAATGTCCTACACCCTAACAGTTTGACCTTACAGATGCATCTTGTTCTTCATATCCTAGTATTTCCTTGATGGCCTTAAAATCTAAAAGAGAAACCTGGATCAGGTGATGTGGGAGAACACTGCCCCAAGACAGAGAGCAATCCTTACCAGGCCCACTCAGAAGTAAGTACCATGGTATTTGATGGGACTTACTTCCAGGAAAAGTGTTCACACTACTGAAGCTTTAGGATTCTCCCATTCCCAGGCGATTAAGAAGTTTTTAGAAGGAATTATTAGCTATAACTGCCTACCAGTTAAACCCTGTTCTCTGTACCCCTGCCTTCGGAGACGAGTGGGTGAGAACCAGACAGGGCTTTTTCAGTAGCAGTGCCTCACTTATGAAATGCCCTTCCTCTTCAGGTTTGCCTGGTGCCTACATTTCTTTCTCTTAGGTACCAGGCTAAACCATTTCCTTCACCCAGACTTTTAATTAATTTAACACTATTTCATTCTTGAAATTAAACTAGCAGTGGTCTGTTTTTCTGGTCTATGTTTTTATGCTGTGCTGGGTTTTTAATGTTGGGTTTTAATTAATATCTTTTATTTTATTTTTGTTTTTAGTACTTTTATTTTCTAAGCCACCTTGGGCTTCCGGTAGCCCCACTGCTCTCAAGCATATATCTTTCCTCATGCATACCTTAATTATTGTACAGACCACCTGCATACTCCTTAACCAGGATTAACACTAACCAGATCTGAACAGAGGGTGAATCTGCTTTACAAACACTGCTTAAGGCTGAACCTGGATAGTAGTACCCATAGTTAAGACTGGTGCAGATGCAACCCTTAGCTATTGTTACAGCGAGAGGAAGGGCAGGGAGAATTCGTTCATCAGCAAAGAGCAGGCATTCAATGCTGCAGCCAGATTCCAGCCTCTTAACTGTCTTTAGATATTGGGTACTATTGCATTTGCATCCAATCTATGACAGAAGTATAATGATACAAGTCAATTTTTACACAAATGCTTAGCCTTTTCTGCAACGCAGCCTCTACTAGTATGATGGTTTTCCAGTGACTGGAGATGCGCTGCGTTCAGTCATTAGATCATCCATCAAAGTTACACCCCTCGCTCCCTCTCCAGTCACATCATATAACTTCCCAACAACAAAATCTTGCTGGAAGGAAACTACTCAAAATACGTTTACACAGACAAATAATTGAACCAACTGTGAAATTGCCATTTTGCATTACATATATAGAGGTCTCCTCCAATTGCAGCTTTGTTTGACTTGCACTGAATATAAACATTATTAAAGAGAACTGCACAAAGGTCAGGAAATTCCTGCAACAGCTACAAAGGGAAACATAACAGAGCACCTTTCAAAATATCATAATCTGGAAATATGTAAATTCCTAAAGGATTGTGACAGTGGGAAAATAAAATGTGGGAATGAAGCACAAAGACATGGTCCAATCATATGATTATTTGGAAAGAGTATTAAAAACACTGCTAGGAGTCTGAAGGTTTTGATTATAAAATTGTAAAAACAGGAGAAGCGAGTGTTTAAATCAGAACATTTATTTAACATATTTTACAACAGTTAAGAATTCCATCCTGTGATGAGGTGCAAGTATAACACAACCTTTTTGTTGTAATTAACAACCTTGGTTTATAGACATCTATGTTTAAAATGGTAACCTCTCCTTTTAAATAATTAACTTCAAGTCCAGAGAAGAAGCACTGAAGCCCCCAGTTGTCATTTATGTACTAGGTAAAGAACCATGAAATTTCATAGGCAAGTGGCGGAGGGAAGTTAATCCAGCTTTTCCCTCTCCCATTTACTCATCTCCTGTCCTTAAGAACCCACCCAGTAATCCACTTCAGACTCTTCCTTCCCTACTCTGTTGGCAGCAGCAACAGCTTCAGGGAATGGATGGATCAAAAGCGAGACAATGTTCTCCATTTCCTAACTCTTCTCTTCCATAAGCAAGGATGCAGACAGACACGATCTTATCCCAAATCTGCATTAACGATGACTTTAGACCACAGGTCACTATCTCTTTTCCTGCTTTTGAAGCAATGGGAAAGTTCTTCCCTTATCCTAAAGCCAATTCTTTGACTGATCAAACGAAGCATAAGAAATGCACAGAGCCTTCCATACCAAGGTCCCAGGATGGCGTGAGAAACAGATGTGTGACTCCATTGCCTCCCCTCTCCAAACCGCTTCCTAATGTTCTCTGGTATATTCTGAATGGCAGAGACAATGTTGCAGAAATGGCCGTTATGTTCAAACACTTTACCCAACTTACAAGTCATGATTACTAGCTCATCTAAAACTGGAATCCCAAAATCACACTTGTCTGGTTTTCTTAAAGTCAATCAGTGCATCCCGCATTTTAGTTCTACTCCCCAATGCCCAGCTTCGTTTTCTCAGCCCATCTCGCACACCAGCTTTCCAGGAATAGTAACATTGATTTACATAGTTCTATGAAACTGCTCCCCACCACCACGATATCCCATCTCCATCATTTCTTCCAAGAACTGTTCTTCTCAGCCTCCTACTTACTCTGTCAGCATGCTCCCCAGGCCTCTATCTCAGAGCTTGACACCTTATGCCAAGTCTTCCTGTGAGGACTCAGGAGCCCTCTTCAGGATGGCAGTGACCAGACATCTTAACATGGGACAGCAAGGAGCCAATCAAGCACTGGAAACATTCCCAAGCACTGGTTCCTTGCTTTGATTTCCTCTATTCTTCCGGGGGGGGGGGCGCATAATATACATCCAACACACCTTGTTGAAGGGAAAACAGGCCCACACTGTTGCTTTGCTTTTTAAAAAAATGCCTCTCACGTGGAACTTAAAATATTTTAAGCTCACTGTCTTCACAAGGTTAAAGGCAAAGAAGGCTAAGTTTTGAACTAATAGCCAATATCCCACACACCAATGGAATACTGATTTGCAGATAAGAGATCAATTATTCAGCAATTAAAGGTCACCAAATGTCCTCTAAAAACACATGAATATTCAGCATAACGTAATACTTGTATTATAAAGGTGTCACTTACTTGCTATCTACTTCTGGTCGTTTGCACACGCAGTGAAATTTGCCACCAAAATCTATATACAGATCATCTTCTAAGACGTGGAAAATCTCCCCAATAACAATTTTGTCTTTGGCAGGTCCCATCTGAATCAGAGGAGAACGCCTCAACATGGATGCAAAGGATTCCTCTTTCCTAGAAGACTCCTAAGCAGGAAACAAAGTTAGGGATGGGGGGGGGGGAGGGAAAGTGTTGTACGTGTTGGTTTAAGTTGCAGAAGACCAAGTCATTAAACATTCCTTCACATTTATAAGAAACAACCTGAGGAATATATTTACTTTGAATCTCTTTAAACTTTCTTTTTGGCTGTCTGGACCCCAATTCAGAGATTCTTGGGGACAGCAGCATGCAAGGATCCTCCAAATGGAACTGGCAAGTACAACCGTGGGAGGAGAGACCTGGGATGTGGGACTTTTCACTTGAGCACCTTAATTTGCTGTTTGTTTCTTACTTCTGATGTTACCAGTTCTGATACCTGAGAAGGCCAGCCAAGAGCATCAATGAAACAGGCAGAAGCTGGATCATCTAGATGACCAGGGGGCGGGGGAGATGAGTTAAAACTGCCCCCCCAGCAAACTCTCTTAGCCTGCTGCCAGCAGGAGAGAAGCTCACTGTTGCACCTGCCATCCTTGCCTCGGGAATGAGAAGAACTGCAGCCATTGGTCAACAGCCACTTCCAAGCAGGCAGAGATTTCTCCCCACGGCTGCTGTAGATGGCAGAACAGCAGCTAAAGAGACAGCACCCAGGTTATCTAGAAAGCTGGAAGAGGAAAAGGCAGCTTTAACACTGATGCCATCCTTCACCTCAACCTCTTACAGCCAGCCATGTCCACACTCTTTTTAAAAGGGGTATAACAGCTGTGCCAAAGGCACTCTAATGCCAGCAGAGGGTCAGAAGAGCAGGATAGAGCTGTTTCTGACAGGGCATACTTCCCTTGAAGTGTTCAGTGCATACTCTGAAAGTTACCTTGCCCTAGATACTCAGGTGGTAAAAGTGACCAGGAATACCTTTTATCTGTAGGTTCATAAACTGGTGATCTTCCTAGAAAACTTTGACCTGGCTACAGTCATGCATTCTCTGGTAACTTACAGACTGAAGCACAGGTTCTTTCAAAACAAATCTAAGTTGATGAGTCAAAGGGTGTGTGTATGTCTGGATTTGAGGAACAGATTCCTAAAAACATCACAACAAATCATAAACATTTCTTCAAACACATCAGAAGCTAGAAACTAGTCAGGAGAGTGGGTTGGCTACTGGATGACAAAAGAATGAAAGAGTTACTTAAGGAACCTGAGGAGAGAGCAGAGAAACTGAATGACTTATTTGTGTCTGTTTTCACTAAGAAAAATGTGGGATGGATGCCCAAGGTCAGAACTGCTGTTTTCAGGAAGGATGTCTGAAGAACCATGTTGAATAGAGGAGACAAGAGATTAAGGTTTAGGACTAATGGGCAAACTAAAAACTAATAAGTCTCCAGGTCCCAATGGCATTCCCTCCAAGGGTTCTTAAAGATTTGAAACTGTTTATCTACTAACCAGTATATGCAACTTGTTGCTAAAATCTGGCTCCATAAGAGGACTGGAAAGTAGCCAATGTTACACTGATTTTTAAACAGAAGTCCAGAGGAGATCCAGGAAAATACAGGCTAGTTAACATAATGTTTGTTCTGGGAAAGTTAGTAGAAACTGTTACTGAAGAAACATGATTAAGACAAAACTAAGCATAAAGAAATAAAACCTGCTGAGGGAAAACCAGCACGGCTTCTGGAAATGAAAGTCCCGCTTCACCGGCCTTTTGGAGTTTGCTAAGTGGGTTAACAGGCATGCCAACAGGGTGATCTGGGAGACATTAGACAGACTTCCAAAGTGTTTTTGACAAAGTGCCTCACCAACAACTTCTGAGTATGCATTAAAAATCAGTTAAACAGGAAACAGAGAGCACGAATAAATAGTACTGGGACTGGTGATATTTAATTAATTCATAAATGAACTGGAAATGGGGGATGAGCAGTGTAGTAGCTAGGTTTATGGATGAAGCCAACTTATTCAAGATGGTGAAAACCAAAGTGTACTGTGAAGAGCTCTGAGAAGATCTCTGTGAATTGGCAGAGTGAGCAACAACACAGCAAATGAAGCTCAATACAGCTTAAGTGCAAAGTGAGAAACACTGGAGCAAAAATTCCTACATTTAAATATATGCTGATGGGATCTGAACTGGTTCTGGCTGAGAAGGAAAGAAACTTTGTTAGAAACTGGAGCACAGCAACAAAACATCTGGCAAGTACCTGGAGCAGGGATCCCCAATATGGTGCCCACAGGCACCATGGTGCCTGCCGACACCTTTCCTGGTGCCCGCCAAGTGTTTTTAGTAAGTGTAGCTTCTGCCAAGTAGGGTTTCTGACTGGCTGTGACTGACTGTTTTGCTGGCAGCTACAGTGTTGGTTTTATTCTCTAACTCGGTGTATTTTTTAAAGTTACTCCTCTTGTCCCTTGTACTTGGGCTTCCTTTGTGTGTGACCTCTGCCTCTCATGGAAGCCATCTTGTGATTGGCTCCTCCTTCCACGGCAATCATTTTGTAGTTGTACCCATCACCTTGTGTCCGAATTCCAAATGGGCCCATAGGCTCTAAAAGGTTGGAGACCCTTGACCTAGTGACAGTAAGAAAAGGAGAGTGCAATGACCTGATTGTGTCATGCTTGGTGTCAGAAGTGTCAGTAGAACACATGAGAAAAGCCCGCTGGGAACAGAAGAAAAAGACCAGGTCTCTAGAGTTAGAATGCCAGTGATGCTGAACAAATCCTAGAACAGGCTTCATAACCAAGAAAAACTATTTTTAAAAATACATGGCAGATTTGTCCTATGTTTGTTTTTAAAAGAACATAAAGCAAAGAAAAGGGCTTTTTGTGTACATGGGAGGAGCAAATAGACAAACAGAATTTTGACGCCAGCAAATTTATACAGTACTTAGTGTAATATTTATAGAATGAAAATACACGAAGAAGAGGCCACAGCAAGCAATAAAGCTCGGGAAAACAAATATTAACACCATCCTGCTTTATACTAGCAAACAAGTCTCTCTCAAACAAAGGAATGAGTAAGTGGGTAAACTGACTGAAAGAATTCCAAGAAAGAATCATGTTAACACATGACAGCATGAATTCAAACTGGCTTGCGTGTTAGAACCTTATTGGCTTACCTGGAAAAACCCTTTGTAGCATCATCAAATAAGTAGTGGTCTAAAGTAATAGGTTTGTACATTTGAGTGTGTGTGTGTACGTGTACACATGGACTGGGAGTAAACAGTGTTAAGAAGGTAAGCATTGAAGATAATGAGAACACAAAAACACCCTGATTGCTGGAGGGCAAATACAACTTGAACATTTGTTGAAGCATTACATCTAAAACACCAAACAATTGCTGAAGCACCAGACATGATTACAGCACAATCCAGTGGAATACATGAGAGCCACTCCTAATCCTTGTTAGTATTATTTCAGGAATAATAGCCCAATGTCATAGGAGTGTTGACTGGAAACACAACAGGAGCTGGAAAAGGTAACAAAGCATTTTAGGTAACTACTTCACCTGAAGCTAAATTAATAGCGTCAAATAAATCATACCATTCCTAAAGACACCCTAGAACAATTTGACATTGATTAGTTATAAAGGCTTATGCATTTAGTACCTTAGTAGTGATGGCAATATACATTTAAGACAGGCACATACATATAACAGAAGAAATTCCAATAAGTGTTTTTGTTTTAGTAGCTCACACAGTTCTTCAGCTTACCCAATACATTCTGCATGTTCTTAAAGTCATGCTACTGTCTCTACTGGTCTCTATGGTTGCTTCTTCTTAACTATATGAACCTGCCATGTACCTACCCTGTCGATGTTGGACAATATGGCTAATTCTCCTGCTTGTCTATTCACTTCTTTCTTTCAATGCTCTTTGTTCCATGCTCCTTTCCATATTCTTTGTTCCATCATGACATAACCCCAAAATTGCCCCCTCATTGCTACCACTCCCTCCCCCTTTGAAATACTTTGCCTTGTGGCAGCGATAGACCACCACTGCCCAAAATGGTTAATCCAATTCAATTTCCACCCCCTGCTATAGCAAAACCGACTTTTCTTTCTCCAGAGACCTCCATTTCTTATGCCATGTGTTACATGCTATCCAAAGAAGAAGACTAAAAGAATTCGTTCATCTGATACTAGTGACTAGGATTACAAATACTCCAGGCCAAGATACTATCCTATCCTTAACTACATTATCTAAACAACAGCTATCGCTGTTGTAGATACAGAAATGAACATTTCATTGTGTGATTCATCCTCTACCCCAAAACAATTCTCATCTTTGAGAGAATCAGCAGGGTCAAAGGTCTATGACATGGTCAATACCACCGTAGGATTTCTACTCCCCCATACTTCCTACTGAAAAAGGATTAGGTACAGTAGGATGATAATCTGCACACCACTTCCAAAATACTAGCGAAAGTTCAGAATGCTTGAGATGAAAACTGGATGAGTCAAACTAGACATCACCAATTTGTCATCTTTTCAGGAAGCTGAAATGGAAACCAGCAATGGAAACAGAAAAACAGTACTGTGGATTTTAACTTTAAATCACTATTTTGGATGTTTTGACAAACTAGGCATGAGAGTTTGCTTTTAGGTTCTTGTGTCAATGTAGACAAACATGCATTTTTTAAATTATTCCAGTTAGCTTATAGTTTTCAACCTTGAAACATAATTTATGAATAAATGGCTTTATGCCCAGAATAAATCCAAGAACGTATGGAACAGTTTGCAGAAATTTTTCCTTGGGGTGTTCAGAGGTGTCTCATATCATGCCTTTAGAGAGCACAATTCAGAAGGTTCTCCTACATAACAACATCTATATAAACTGTCCATACTCTATGGCCTCTGAATCTCTCAGCTCTGGAATTCAGTGAAATCTGGTCCCCCAACTCCTTTCTTTTTTCTTTTCTTTTGGGCAAAGCTCTGGGTAAGAAGCTCTGAAACTCAACCTTTTACCTAAAAGTCAAATTAGGTCGAATAGGAATGGCATGCATACTTACATAAGACTGATTTCACTAGGGTATGCCAGTGTTATGCATATATATTTAATGTTTCATTTAATTAGATTATTTTGAAACAAATTTTTAAATTAATTTATTGGCTGGAAAATATTGGGTTTCAATTTAAACCTGGAAGAGACAAACAGACAACCCTAGATGTCTTCCTTAGAGATAGAGGACTGTTCCCTGCAAAGACTAAATGTTATAAGCAAGGCTTTTTTTCTGAGGGAACACACTGGAATGGAGTTCCAGAACCTCTTCGACAAAATTCTTTTAAAAATGTTTAAGAGTTCATGAGTTTTTAGTATTCAGATTTAAAACTTCATTTCCCTCTTAGAGTTCCAGCACCTCTTTTTCAACAAACAAAAAAAAGCCCTGGTTATAAGGGAACATTCAGCCATCAAGGGCCACTGTGATTTAGTGGTTAATACATTCCTTTAATTAAGTCAAAGAGGTTTTTAATTTCAATGTGGCTGTTTAAAGTAATGCCCCCTCACAGGTGGGTCCCAGCAAGTCACAGCAACAATCACTCATCAGAGCCGCAGGCACTGTGAGTTTCTACTCTGATTACAGTTTGTACCCAGCAGCATTCTAAGAAGGCAAGTCTTCCGATAAATCCATGATTACAACTTTTATGATGGAATCTACCAATTGTGTGTATGGGATTGCCTGGGAGGGTCAATTGTTTCTACGTCCTAAGATAAAGAATGCAAATGAATATTCTATATATCTAGGCTTCAGTCCAGTGCACACTTACATTCCCAATTAACATCAGAGGCATTTAACTGAACAACTTGCAATCCTATGCAGAGTTACTCCAATCTAAACCTACTGATGTCAATACCTTAGGATGAAATAACTCTGCATAGGATCGCACTGTCCTTGGCATTCCTTTCCTTTGAGAATAGGAAGAACTGTTCCCCACACTGCCCTAAACAGACTATCTGGACTCCCAACATGAAAAACTGATAAGATTGGGACATTCAGGTTCAAATCTCCACTCAGCTCACTGAGTGAACTTGTGTTAGTCACCTTGTCACCTACCACAGAGTGATTATGTGTATGAAGTACAAGAGGAAAGAATAATAACATTGCAAAATGTGATTGACAGATTAATCCACTATTCAGTTTTTAATGCATTTTGGGTTACACAAGTCCTTCTTCATGGAAATAAGAGATACTAAAATAAAACCAATTTTTTCACCTGTGAATCAATCAGCATATCAAAAGGTGAAGCTGACCTCAAAAACACTTAGTGCTTAGAACAAAGTTTGAGTCCAGTGGCACCTTTAAGACCAACAAAGTTTAATTCTGGGTAAAAGCTTTCACGTGCATAAACAGGAAAGTTTATACCCAGAATTAATCTTTACTGGTCTTAAAGGTGTCACTGCAATCCAACTTTGTTCTCCTGCTTCAGATCAACACAGCTACCCACCTGAATCTATTCTAGTGCTTAGATTCAGCATCTAAAATATTATTAATCATAATAAACAATACTAATAATACTAGCCCACCTTCATACATACGGGACTGAATACAGTCAAAATAAAGTAGAGAAAGAAATAAAGATACAGAAAACAGCTAAGAAGCTTTAAAGGGTTACCACCTCCAGGCTGGGAAATACCTGGAAATTTGGGGGGTGTGGCCTGAAGACAGCGGGGTTTGGGGAGGGGAGGGACTTCATTCAGATATAATGCCATAGAGTCCACCTTCCAAAGTGGCCATTTCTCCAGATCACCTGGAGATCAGTTGTAATAGCGGGAGATCGCTAGTCAGAACCGGGAGGTTGGCGACGGAAGATCCACAGCTTGCCCCACTAGCAATACCGGATTTGCGGCCCTCCTCCCCAAATCACTGTAAAAAGCAAGCGGGGGAAGGGTTAGAAAGTGCGCACGTTCCAGTGTAACCGAACCTCGCTTCCGCCGCCTCCCGAAAGAGCCTGGCGCCCATAGACGAGTCTCGCTCCCGGAGCCTGACAGAGGAGTCGTGCCTTCGTCAAAAAAGCGCCTCGATATAACTGTCGTGCTGCCGCCATAGCAGCCGTTGCAGCTGCCATAACAGAAAACTATTCCCGTCGACCCTCAACAGTCAAACCCGTCTTGCGCCGGAAACAGTTACGGTGCCAGCTGCTCTATGATACACAGAGAAAAGCTTTGGAGTCACACCGTAGAAGAGTCGGGCACTCCACAATCTGCAGTATCTTTGGTTCCGCTCGTGGGCGGCACCCTAGCAACCAATCCCCTGGGATTCCCCGTCATTAAATAATCTCCAGGTTCCGGTCACGGAAGGAGGGAGGGAAAGAAAGAAAGGGAAAATACTACTTGGAGGCATCACGTGATTGTGATTACAGTTGTGACGCGGAAAGGGCTAGGAACTTTTTGATAGTATTAACTCTTAGTGCAGGTGCACAGGCAAAAAGACTGGGACTTTCTGGGACTAAAATCTGTCGTTCTATGTGCCTTTCTCATTTTAGAGATGCTTTATGGAAAGGCAAATGATATAACTGTACAGTTGCCAATAATCAAAATGCAAACCATGTAGGTTTATGACAGGGGACTAAAACAATCACACCGGGTGCTCCTGTGTGTATCTATTACTTACTGTGAGATCCCATATATGTCATTTCCCTCTACAGCCTAGTGTTCAGGCTGTAAAAACTTGATGGATTATTAATCAACATATCAAGTAACATTAATATTAATCAGACTATTTTCAGCTATACAGTACTGAGTCTTTGTTAATCTCATGCTTTGAATTTTGATGTAGTTTGGGTCTTTTACTATGAAAGGCTGCTGACTACTGCTAAAAATAATGGCTGGCTACTGAGTCAAGCCAGAACATGGACCTCTGTGAACCACACCAAGCTGCAAGGAAAAGTCAAATCATAGTGATTTCTCTGCATGAAAAAAATAAAAGTAGCCAGGAGTCAAATTTTATAGAAAAAAATAAAAACAGGAAAAGATAAAGGATAATTTTATAAATTAAGACCTCAGTATATATATTCTTAAAACACAGTACCTGCACTTTACTATGTTTTTAATTTTCCATTGCTCCACCTGTTATTATAACTTACTGGTCCTTGACTCTTCTCAGGGAGTAACAGAAGTGCTGACTTCCAAGAATCTTTGCCCATTGTCCTACAGATGCAGCAAGCAAGGGCTTGAATGACTGCAACATTGTACTATTAAAACGCTCTTCAGCAATACTGCAAAACTGGGACAAGGACATAAAAATAATTTAAAAAGAGGTTTTCTCCCTCTTCTCCCAGGTATTGAACATTTTTTTGAAACTTCATCCCTATTTAAACAAATGTAAGTGGGTGCCTTTTGGAGGACAGAATTAAATGGAAATCTGTCTAAAATCTTCTCTGTTTCTCAGGAAGCAAACGCCCTCTGCTGTTGGAAATATGAAAGGTTCCCTAATAGTTTAACTTTAAATGGTTTATTCAACTGCTTCCACCTTGTGGTTATTGTGAGACTACTTTATTAAACTAAAAAGGGTTTAACGCACAGCATGTTTCAGGGTTTTTGCTGCTACGCTGATCCAGAATCAACATCTCAAAATAAATCAATGGGTGCAGTCTCTGAGTTCTTTGATGGAAGAAAGGCTGTAGATAAATGTAATAAAATGTATTATGAGGACTGCTGAGCACAAGGTATACCAAGGGCTCTGCTTAAATTTTGAATGTGCTATTAAATCTTTTGAGATGTTGGATCTTAAGTCAGAAAAATAATTCTATCTTTAAGATCAGTGGGTTTTTTTGTAAAAAGGAGAGGGCAGGTACTCATATATAAGGTCCACTGATTCCCACCAATTCCCCCCCCCCCCCGACTTCAGAGAAACCCCCCCCCCGTGCCCATAGTCAGTACCCAATGAGTACCACCCCAAGCCTCCTGTTTAACAGTGGTCCTCAGTCTTTTTGAGCCTCTGGGCACCTTTGTAATTCTGGGAGAGTGTGGGGGGTACAGCCAAAAATGGCTGCCAAAAATAGCTGCCACAGCTTGCCTTTCAGTCACACAATGAAGAGCCTTGTGCTGTAGTGGCAGTGCTTGCAAAAGGAATTTTTTATTTAAAAAATCTGCACAGCCAATCAAATCTCCAATGGCCTATCAGAAGCCACGCTAGGCAAAAGTCCCACCTGCCCCCCCCTTTAAAAACACTTGTCAGGCACCATGGAACCCACAGGCACCACGCTGGAGACCCCTGCTGTTTAAGATTAGTGACACACTATCCTTTGGAAGAAAAACTGGGTCCATTGCAAAGGCAACCTCATCCTTCCCAATCTATTGGATCAATCTATTATTCGGGGTTCACAAGTACAGCAAAAGCTCTGTCCTTTCTATATCACTTAGATGATCACTTTCTAGATGACTTAGATCATACACTGACATGGCAAGTGCTAAACAGCATTGCCAAAACTCTAGTTCGATGGAACACATGCAGTTGAAGGTGTTTAGGTATCTCAGGCTTGGCTTGTTGAGTGACCTCAGGCCAGTCACGTACTGGATTATTATGAGGATAAAATGGAGGAGAGGAGAAAATTGTAACCTGCCTTGGATCCCCATTGTGTAGAAAGGCAGGATATAAAGTAAAATTAAAAATAAAATTAAAATATTCACACATATTTACAAGATCTTCGTGTCCCCCACTTTTTTACCCTGGAGTCAGATACATTTCATGCTGTAATCTTAATTACTATGTGTGTGTGCGTGCGCGTGTGTGTGTGTAAAGTACCATCAAGTCACAGCCAATTTGGGATGACCCCAGCAAGGGCCTTTTAAGGCAAGTGAGAAGCAGAGGCTGTTTGCCATTGCCATCCTCTGCAGAGTCTTTCTTGGTGGTCTCCCTTCCAAGTGCCAACCCTGCTTACACTTCTGAGAACTGACAAGATCCAGCTATGCCATCCCATTTCCCCTTCCAATTACTATGTATATGAGGGCCTGATACAGATTGGGATGGAGGGGTTCAAGCTCTCCTCTCTTGAACAGTTCTCCCAACATGACAAGGCTCTAAGGAGCCACTATTTGTCTCGTTCAGGAGGTTTATGTGTAGCAATAGCCAACAATGCTTTAAGAAGTGTGTTATTTAAACCTAATCAAATACTGCAGCTTGGCACATGAAAAAGATACCGCTTCATGGGAATAACAGTCATGTGACTTGCTATTTGAACAGTAGATTCTGTGCAAAGCCCATTCTAATTAACACTGGGGAAAACTAGAAGCCCATAACCAATTTGGCATGGAGACATTTTTAAAAATATATATCTTGTGTGGCATTTTGTCTAGTTTCATTTTACATCTTGTAACAAAATTCATTCATGTCAGAAAGTGTTTAGAGGCACAGTAAGCATCAGTTCAACCAATGAAGATTGGGATTGCAACTTTTTTCAATCACCTATTACTCTAAGAATTCAGTTACTAAGCCTGCAGTTCTATGCACTTTTACCTACAACTAATTTCCACTGAATTCAGCATAGGCTCCAAGTAAACAAGCCTAATGTTGGGTTACATGGAACATCAGGGTTATATTTCCACACAAACACAAAACCTACTCAGTCTTTTATATTTGAGAATACATTGCTTTTATTTTTAATGATTTTCTTTACATTTGATTTGAGTTGCTAAACAAAGTTGTCAAGTGTTAAGTGTGTTACATACCTAGTTTGTGATTGTTTGGGTGCAGGTACATGTGCCGGTGGGATCGCGCCCGGAAAACCCGCATGTCTTCCGTCTGACTCGCATGGCACATTTGATTTGAGTTGCTAAACAAAGTTGTCAAGTGTTAAGTGTGTTACATACCTAGTTTGTGATTGTTTGGGTGCAGGTACATAAGACATGTTTGTACTAAATTACAATGCTTCTTTTAACAATGGGTTCATGTTCATTCCAAGCATAGTGATTAAATGCAGTAAACAAAAAATATACTGTGGTTAACGTAAGTCCTACAATGTGCAAGAACATTATCTAATATGGGCACATAAAGTGGAGTTGCACTTTACAAGGTCAGGAGGTTTGGTTAGTCTTTTTAAAATATTTCTAGTTGCTTTCCAGTGGTTACAATATCTAAATGCAACTTTGTGTTTTCAGATTTCATATTGTTATCAATTCAAAGAATTCAGCTTCTCCGCAGGACTCTCTTCCGTTGGTACAAATTCAGAAACCAGATACATATCACCTCTGTTCCAGTGTGCATTTTCCAAGATGTTAAAGTTTACCAACCCACATGAATGTAGAAGCACTGCTGGTACCATACACTTCAATCATTTAAATGGCAGCAGGAGGGAAGAGAATAAATGTTTAGATTAAGTGCCAGTAACAGCATGGCCCAACTTTATTTCCTTTCAAATAAATGAGAATTAAAGTCTTATCAGTGTACTTTTTATCAGCATGATGCTTCTTAGCCACTCCATTTGCTGTGTTACTTTCAGCCTATACAGTTCGTATTCTCAGACTTCATATCTGATGACTCCATTTTACTCCTGCAACATTCAACAATTAAAGACAGAACTAAGTTAATTAAACTTGCAATATCCAAGAACAAATGTTTAATTGGGAACAATTAAGAAAAACACTTAATATAAATTTGTTCATGATAACCTCACTAAAATAATGTTGCATGTTAAGATGGAACTGTTTAACTCAATGCCAGCAATTATCACAATGGACATGTTATTTGGTCAAAGTTTACATTGATAAGTTGAAGCCGACAGTCTTCTTCTGCCACTGGAAGTTCCTTCAGCAAGACCAAAAGCTTTTCATGCTAATCTGATTGATGAGGCCTTTTCACAGTGTTTGCAGTGAAGTAAGTGGAAACAGACTTTCATGGGACATGAACCAATTGCTATTCATCACAGCATCCAACATATACAGTGCTGAAACTCTTAACTTCTTTAACTTTCATAATGCACTATCTTAGTGATGATTTTAGACCAGGAATAAGTCTTTTAAATACTCAAAATGTGGAAAAATTCCAGATAGTGTCTTAAAAAAAATACTCTGAGCCTACATGATCTACATATTAAATAGCTATAAAGCTAAGTGCTAAACAGAAGCACATCTTGGAAGAGTCAACAGCAGAGGTGTTGTGCTTCAGCATTTGCTTGCAGCATCTGGCAGTGGATAGCAGGAAGTAGGCAAGACAATCATTGAGCATCCTCTTCTGTCTGCTTTGTAGTCACTTCTGTGGCACTGGCATTAGCAGCAGAGTTCAAGACCTCTCCAAAGTCACCCCCAGCGGGCTTGTTTACCCCAACCTTATACTGAAGAGATTTAGAAACTTCAGATTAGCTTCTTTAGAAATGCAAATACAGTTAAGTCTGGAATAGTTAAGATATCAAGTATATTACTATTCTCAGAAGCATTCTCAAGAAGTATCCACAATTAAAAAGATACCCCTCCCCCAAGGTCAAGCAAAGTCAAAGAGGGAGGAGATCAGGGGCTGCAACATCTAAGGCAGACATTAACATGTTAAGATACATTTCTGTACTGTTTTATCAACTAGGTAGAAGACTATCAAGGACTGCACAATTCTGAATAGGGCATTGCCCCCACTCAAGAAATCTCATTCAGCGGGCAGCTTAAATGCTAGTCAGCAAGACTTCTTTACCATGTACACTTTAATATATTTAGTATACTGCTTATATGTAACGACATCTTCTCCCCCCCCCCATGTTTTTCTTGTTTCCTATGAAAAAGCTCAGAGCAATCATAATATTGCAAGTGTACAAAAACTGATCAGATCATGATACATGAGTGCAATATGCCTCAGATACACATCTAGGGGGCCTAAATGCAAGAGAATTTTGTTGTGCATGAGAAATCTAGTTTCATATTCATTCGTTTGTATGGCTTGGGGAGAAAAAACAGTGGATCTATAGCATCATCTCTGGAAGTTTCTGAAACCAAAAATACCCTGGTCAAATCCTTATGCCCTGTGTAACACCTTGTGCCCCCAGATAAGGTTAGACCTCCTATTCCCTGCCCACCAGATGTTCACATGCAAGCTATAACATAAATCTCTATGTAGGGACTCATCTTCAGAAGTGAACTAGACCAGTATTCTTGTTATATATTTTCAGCTCCCAAGCAGTAGCCACATTAGTCTGCTGTAGAAAGAAAGGAGTCCTGTGGCACCTCAGGAACTAGCAGATTTAATGTAGCATAAAGTTTTGTAGACTAAAACCCACTTCATTACTCTGTGCCATAATAATACTCTTTCATGCTGATTACTGTTTTGTAGCTTTTTTTTCTTAGATTGCTTTTACAGAAACTTCATTTTGTTTCTTTCCGGAAGCAGCATTCAAACTAAATTCATTTTATTGTAAGAGGAGGTATGTGTACACATTTATTGCCAATCAATACCAGAGCTGAATGTCTTCCACAAAGAAACCAACAACCAAGATCAACCACATTCCTTGTTTTAGAAACAGAATTGATAGTTAGAATTTACCTTTAAGTTTTCAACTCTCTCTTCAAATGACTTGAAAGTTGGGGAATTCCTAGTAGGAAAAAGGTAGTTATCAGATTTTTCAAAGATCAAACCACAAGTACACTCACACTGGCAGATTATGATAACACACATACCTAGTGAACAACAATATGTTTAAAACTGCAGCTGTGGTGCTGTAACTTCAGTAAGATGCTTTGAAATGTACAGTATAGACAGAAGAACTGGATTTAAACTACTGCAAGGCTGATTCTATGTATGTTTGCACAGGAGCCAAGTATGCATTGGGTTGCACAGTTAGAAATATATCCCCTTTCCATACTTTAAATAGTCCAGTTCCAATGGTAGAGTCAGGATATGTTTAGTTTCAAATACAGAATACTGAAATTGAGTAGTTTTATACAGATAAACCTAGCAGGCACGTCTCCCTTTCAAAATAATTAATTACAGTTTTTAGCCTGGTGGAATCACACAATTCAAGGTTATCCATTCCTCCTCAGATTGGTACATAGAAAATTTTCTTAGGTATCAATAGAGCTATGCATACATTACCTCATAGCAGGCATGCTAATTGAATGCTGTAGACAGCGTATACTGAACGGCAGCATTAAGAGAAAGGAAAATTAATCAGATTGTGAAGAATCGTGTTTGTCCCTGCCAATTCCATGCAGCGACACATTAACATGAGAACACATTTCCAAAGTACTGAAGATGACTGTTAGGCATGCATCAGTTTTGTCCCCATGCATGGACCAAGGACAGCTGTGGCAACATTTAGTGCATGCTGGCTTATGAGGAATCCTTGGCAGTTCTCCTATAATAACTGATCAGAGTTAGTCAAGCAAATGTCACAAGGATTGTTCATGTTTAGATTAGGATCATTTTTTAATGCATCCAAAGTTTTGCTAGAGCTCATGCATGTGAGTAAGATTATTAACCTTGATGTGCTTTTCATCTAGCCTTTGCTACATTCTTGACTAGAACAGGAGTGCTTTTAGAACTTAAGTATAAAGAGGGTAATCACCACAGCCACCCTTGTTGGGTACATTATACCCTGCATATTTTAAAAAGGGGGATCAAAGTTGAAAGGAGTCCATGACAGAAACTGTCAACTGAATGTGCTTTCAGCAATGCAGAATAGCTGCTGCAACAGCCACAGATAATCACCCCATTCCCCCACCCCCCAATTTTATTTGTCTTTTCCAACAGAAATTTGAGCGGGAACTAGAAAAAACCTCCAATAAAACAATTTTTTTTTGAGTAAGCAAAATATTGTTAGACAGTTTTAGTCACTCATATGTGCCGTATGGAGATTTTTATGCAAAACAATTTCCTTCCCTTCAGAGATTCATCTGTGTCCCTCTGCGGGTGTCTTTCACCAGCAGGTGAAGGCTTTTTTGTATTGTTTGGCAAGCTCCCAATAACGGTTTCCATGTTCAAATGTTTTAATGTTTTTTATGTTGACTATCTTGGAGACCCTGATCAGGTGGAAAGGTGGCATAAAAATGTTTCAAATAAATAAAGCATCAAATAATGATTCCTGCATATGCTATAAACACAAAGTTGGGTCTACACCACAAGGTGTAGGGCTTACAGAGAGGCTATGTTATTTTAGGGTTGCCAGGTCCTTACCTCCTACTGATGGGGGATGGGAGGGTGCTCTCCGGGACTGGGGGGTCAGGGCAAGATTCCACAGCAACGCTCTGGTTTCACCATAGAGTTTTGTCCTCAAACCAGAGCAACACACAGCAACATCCCCATGTGATGATCTTACTTCCACATGATGTCATAGCATCAGGGACGTCCTTGCACAATAGCCCTGTTTTGGGAAGAGGCTTCCCCCACCGGTCAGCTGGCTGGCAGCAGGCAGAAGCCTGAAAAATGAGGGGAACCCCTGCCTGGACTGGGGGTCTGACAATCCTATTTTATTTGATTTTCAATCATCACTGCAGTCTCCCCTGACCTGTGGAACATTTTACTTGAGATGGTCATCTAGTTGTCCCCGAGAAGTTTCAGGACAAGAGGCAGTCTGCTTAAGGAAAGGCAAAATCCAACATCGTCCACTAACTGGTATATATTTTCAAGGATATGTTTATTCTATAAATGCAACTAATTTTATCTACAATTAATTTGCTGTAATGAGTAAGATAATATGCTACTCACGTGTTTAATGTTTCCTTGATATCAAAATATCCTGCTTGTCCTGTTGTGACTGTATGAGACTGTAACTCTCCAAATACTGCATTTCTTTTTATGTACTGTAAAATTTGTGTTTTCCCCTACTTCTCACATGGCAAGAACTAAGATATAGGTGCCAAGGTGACAGTGTGCAGCTTCTCTCTCCAAATGTACCCAATTTAAACATTTTATTGGTAAAATCAGAAGAAAGGAAAAAGCACCCTCTCACAGACCAGCCAGCACAAACAGCAAGACCACATCAACACAGGAATGTTAAATGTTTCTCAAATACAAGTACTTCAGAACACTCATAAAATGATAGGTTTCATTTGCTTCCAAGTTTCATTTGCTTTCTTAAAGTTTTCCAGATATTGTTCTCTTTGGTTAAACAGGAGTCTTAAGGCAGTTAGCAACCACAGGTCTGCTGTGATCCATGCCTTCCCTTGACCTATACACTTTAGATTTCATTTATCCCAAAGTCCTACATCGCTCTAATACATACACACTCTTATAGTCTGTCAGCAGAATGAAATACTTAAAATGGATTTTAGCACTCAGGAGTCCCATGATGAGATCAGAGTGGGAGTTAAGACGGCTGGAGAGACAGTGGTGACGAGTTCGCGACGAAGCCACAAGAGCATCTTATAGGACGTTTATGAGATCCTATGAGATGGCAGTCAAGGCTGCAAAGAGGGTGTTCTTTGCAGAGGAGATTGCGTCCGCTAGCTCACGCCCAGCCCAATTATTTAGAACAATTCGGTCTAAAACAGTTCTGCCTCAGGGCAGCCCAAAGGAGAGGGAATTGGAAATTGGCTGTGAGGCTTTTGCGAGCTATTTTGCGGATGAAGTCTTGACGCTTCGCCGTGACCTCCCCGCCACGCTTGAAACAGTGAGTGAACTCAAGGCCCCTTGCACTTCTGCGTCGGTTTTGGATCATTTTGACCTGCTCAGCCTTGAGGAAGTTGACAGATTACTTGTAACTGTACGCCCAACCACATGTACCCTTGATCCGTGCCCTTCCTGGCTCATTAAAGCGGGCCATAAGGGGTTTCGAGGAGCTCTTAAGGAGATTATCAGCAACTCTCTCATTGAGGGACGGTTCCCGGGAGGTCTCAAGGAGGCGATGGTCCGTCCTCTCTTGAAAAAACCATCTCTGGATCCGGCCAAATTGGCCAACTATTGGTCGGTTTCCAATTTGCCCTATTTGGGCAAATTGATTGAGAGGGCGGTGGCGGTACAGCTTCAGGGTTTTCTGGATGACGCTTCTACTCTTGATCCCTTCCAGTTCGGTTTTCACCCAGGTCACAGGACGGAGACAGAGTTGGTCACTCTTACTGATGACCTCCATAGGCACCTGGATCGGGGCAGGTCAGCGGCATTGCTGTTGCTAGACCTGTCGGCTGCAGTCGACATGGTCGACCACCAGCTGCTTGCCCACCGCCTCGCCAACGTGGGAATACAGGGACTCGCCTTACAGTGGCTTGTCTCTTTTCTCCAGGGTCGGGGACAAAGGGTGGTGCTTGGGGAACAACAGTCCGGGAGACGCCCTCTTGAGTGTGGCGTACCCCAGGGCGCAGTACTGTCCCCAATGTTGTTTAATATCTTTATGCGCCCCCTTGCCCAGGTGGCTCGGAGGTATGGGTTGGGTTGCTCCCAGAGGAGATCAGGGCCCTGTGGGACCTTTTACAGTTCCCCAGGGCCTGTAAGACAGAGCTCTTCCGCCAGGCTTTTAAATAGGAGCCGCCACTACTGTCACCATCAATGATCCTGTTGAATGCCTGGATCCTAGGTCTGGCCCAGTTGTATCGCTAGGCCCATCGGCACGAGGGATGATGATTAGATGAAGAACGTGGATTTAGATCTGGAAGCACGCCATCTAATCTTCAGTACTGCAAGCACTTTACTGCTAATTGTTAATTTATGTCTTGAATGAGTATGTGTTTTATGTAGTTTTAATAATTTTTATGGTTATGCCAATCAGGTACATTGTACCGCTTTGTTAGCTGCCCTGAGCCTGCTCGCAGGATGGGCGGGGTATAAACATAATAAAATAAATAAAGCAGCATTGTAGAAAGCAAAAGGACCATTCTTTTCCACTATTAACTTAAAATATGCCAAATTACGAAGTCAGCAGCCTCCTAGTAATTTATTTTAATATTGATTACTTAAATTGATTTGTCCACAGAATGTTTGTGGATCAAGAACGGGCCTTCTTAAAAGTTTACTTCTCCACTCAAAGAACAATTACCTTGTGGGTTACACTGCCATAGGATGCTGTGATCTAGCATGGCTGCTCTTATGTACCACAGTCCCTCACATCATCTATTCTTAAGATATATTTAGCTTCATACCTACCAAGACAAAAGATTCACCAGCTTGGGTACAAATCCAGGCATCAATTGTTCTTGAATGTACTGGATTGCTACTGTGATAGATACTGAAAGGGGAATCTGCTACTGTAACTGTTCACTAGTAATACACGCTAGGCAGATATAAGCAAGCAAGTAGGAGTTTCAGGTCACCCCTTCATACTAGAAACAGCCTTACACCCCCCACCCAAAGACTTACATTTCCTCAAGGACTTAATTTAAATTAGGCTATTTAGGACTGTCTAAAGCACAATTTCCAAAACTTGAATACCTATCATTAAAATCCATCACTTATGAACACCCACTTGCATGCTATGCAGTTGCTACACAGCAACTTCATCGTCTTACCTAAAGGAATGTGTAAAAGCCTGTACTCTGCAGAATACCAAGCAAGAAATAATAAGAAAAAAAGCTCTAGCAGACATGAAACTGAACTTTTTCTACAGTTGAAGGACTAAAGGTATATAATGTAACAATCTACTCTAGACTTGAAAAAATATGGCAACGATATAGGATGAGTTGCTATTCCTGCTTTATTCAGCAATATTCTGGTATTCCAAAGGGACATTGCTCATTAAAAATAAATTAGTTTTGAAAGACGCAGAGCCTCACTGAAGCCCCAGTTCCCCTTTCTACATGAATCTAAACTCTGCAATGTAAGTGTGCACAGTATACTGACCCTACCAACATACAGCTGTTATCTGCACAAATATGAGTTATGAATTGAAAGATTAGTATAATATAATTATTTTCTTTATAGAAATTTTTAAAAAGAGTCACAATGCAATTATGTAGAGGTACTCCAAATTAAGCCTACTGATTTCAGTGGGCTTATGTAAAAATACTTCTTCACCAGATTTCATGCATGGTCTTTTCAATATCCAAAATAAGATTATGACAATGCAAACATAACCTAAGAATACTTCCAAGAAACAAGAGTTAAGAACTACAATTTATAAATTACTCCATGAGACAAGTTCTTTAAAAATCTAGCATCAGAACAACATCAAATCATTTTTTTTCCCAGACTAATCTCACTAAAACTACAGTCATCCAAACAGCAGCACAGTGAAAGCACAACGCTGTTCAGAGGTTTTACAAGCCACACAGAGAACAATCTGAAAGGAAAAGCGTTTCAGTTGCAGGTGCTCAAAAAGCTCTATTTCTAAGGGCCAAGATACATGCAACTCACAAGGCAGTTTCAGAGAGCTGGCTAAGAGCTCCTGCCCCTGAAGGCAGCTATTTACTCCCAAACTCAGATTGGACACACCCCACCACACTATTCCCACAGTGAACACATCTGAAGAAAGGGGGCCACAGCAAGGCAAATGAAGAAGAAAAAGATCAAATGGTGCAAAGAAAAAGAAATCTTTAATAATCATACAACCCCAACATTAAGTATACATGGGGTTGTATAATTATTAAAGATTCTTTTTCCTTTGCACCATTTTGTCATCTTCTTCACAATTAATGGGCAGCAAACAGCTGCCTTTGTACTACAGGTGAGGGTAGTGTTATTTCTGCCTTTGTCTGTCCCCTGTTCAATGCCCTTAACATTCAAGGAGACTAGTCTACCAATATGTAGACCGATCTTGATAGGACAATGGCCTGAATCAATATAAGGCAGCTTCATGTGTTCACCTTCTCCACCCCCTCCCCAAAATGCTGCTTCCACAAATCTTTCAAACTGTGCTGTATTTCATCCTTGAATGTAGTTGTTCTCTATTCTCAAGTGTCAACACCAATATCCCATTAATAAAATTCAAGAGAAAAACTGAAGACATACTTCACATCTTCCAACTTCTTCGTTATGGCAGACCCAACCGATGAGAAAGCAGCAGAAGCTTTCTGCCCAGCGTGAGACAATGTTTCCGAAGTCTTCTTATACCTATATTCAGACACACAGACTCAAATTACTACAGTTCTAAGTGTTTTAAGATCAGGCACAACCTGCAGGTGATATTTCACTTCTAGTGTACCAGGCCTTTTTTCTTTTTAAAAGCAAACACTCCAAGGCAAGTTTCGCAACGTAAGCCTATTCACCCACCGCCATTTGATACGCTTGGAATTTCTATCCTGCTTCCCTTCCTCCTTAGGATAAGGAAGTCTGAACTTATACACACACTCACAGAGATATATATTTTTAAATGGGCACAACTGCCCACAGCAACCAAGATTTTCATGAGGTAACACTCTGAATCATGGTTGTGGAAAGCGCCATCAAGTCACAGCTGACTTATGGTGACCCTGGTGGGGTTTCCAAGGCAAGAGACGTTCAGAGGTGATTTGTCATTGCCCACCTCTGTGTCATGATCCTGATATTCCTTGAAGGCCTTCCAACCAAATACTAGCCAGGGCCAACCTTGCTTAGCTTCTGAGATCTGACAAGAATCTCAGAAAGAAATATGTTTATATTAATAGCCATCTACCAACAAAGAGGAATTTATGCTAAGGGCAAATCAACGAATGCCACATTTTAGCATCTGACATCTGGAAGAGGTTATATGACTCACATATAAAAATGCAAAGTATTCTAATGCTTTAGCCCATGTAAGACAACAACAAGATGCCATTTTGAATTAGGGTTCCCAGGTCCCCTCACCGCACCAGTGGAGGGATTGGGGGCGGGGGGTGTCCCAGGACTTTGTTGACATGTCATCGCAGCAGCAACGCTCTGATTTAAAAGAAAAACTCTATGGTTTTAGACCAAAGTTACCATAGAGTTTTGCCCTCAAAACCAGAGCCTCGCACAGGACAATCCCCAATGTGATGATGTCCCTTCCAGGTGACGTCATCACATCAGAACACCCCACCCAGACGTGGCTGTTGGTGGGCGGGGTTTGCCCCACTGAAAAGCGGGGCAACCCCCACTGGAACCTGGGGACTGGCAACCCTATTTTGACATTACCTTGCAAATATTCACAAATGCAATCGCTGTTTTGGACAGCTGTTGCCTCACTGGAACAGTGACCTATCAAGTTAAACAATTAAGGGAATACCGATCGCAACACAACATGCCTGTTTTGGTTTGTTGTTGTTCAGTCACACAGTCGAGTCCGACTCTTCGCAACCCCACCAGCCACAGAACACCAATGATCTTGCCAAGTTAGGCATTAAAGGTCAGTTCACACAATTAATAGGAAAAGCTTAGCTGTGTGATTCTAACTGTAGCATTCCAGGCACCACTGTATTTGCCATGTCTAATCTTTCCTAAGAGAGCCAAACTACACAATAAGTTATTTAACAAACTGGGTCTCGGTTCCCCAGACTCAGCTTGCTTTCCATGCAGCCACACAGTAGCCACAGAGGAACTTCTTTTTAAAGCACTGCAGAGGCCTGATTTGGCTTTGGACCATGCTGTGGGGGGGGGGGATTTCTGCTTCCCCCTGCACTATTTTGCTGACCCGAAACATCTCCAGAGGGGAATTATTTGCCCCCATTTTGAAGCTGCAAACATACAGCTTAAGCAAACAGCATGGAAAGAAGAAGGCAGAAGTCCTTCCCCCACAACATACCACAGTCCCGAGCCAAACTGGAAGAACCTGGACCTGGCTTGTTTTAAAATGTAACATTTAGTTTGGTGCTCTGACTCTGCCAGCTGTGAAAAGTAAACTCATCTGTGTCAAAACTGAAATATTATAGGGAAATACAGAAACATACGCATGTGTTGCCGTTACATCCTGCCACCCTTTGGAAAGGTTCTGTTTCAGCTCCTGCAATGTATTGATTCCCAATTTTTTCTTTA